TGCCCGCACGTAGGACCTTCCCCAGCGATCCCTTCACACGCAGGGACGGGAAGGCGCCGCGCTGGTCTGGTTTCTGCGCCAGACCAGGACGTGGGGGACTGAGCCGCGCTGCGCTTCCCCAGCAGAACCAGGGTCACCGGTTTCTCTCTCCTCCCAGCGGCCAAGTGCTAGGAAGGAGATCGTTCGAGGGACGGATCTGTGCCTGTCCCGGCAGGGACCGCAAAGCTGATGAAGACCATTACCGAGAGCAACAAGCCCTGAATGAGAGCGCAGCGAAGAACGGCAACGCCAACAAACGCAGTGAGTCCCCTTGCCGGGACAGGGAGGGGGGCTCGGGGCACTGCTCCACCGCAGCCCCAGGCTCGGCCAGCCCCTGCCCCCCCCCTTGCCGCCCAAATCCCTGCGGATGCTTCTGCCTCAGCTCCTTTCCCTTCGCACCCAAACTCGCTGCGCTCCAGAAGTTCGGGCTCCAATCCCCATCCCCATCCCCAGTACCCCAACACTGCTTTGACCTTCCTCAACCCAATCTGAAGTCTCATAAATGGAGGGAAAAGGGAGGGGGTCCTACAGGGCAGGGCTTCCACATCGGGTATGCCTGTTCTTCATCGCTGTTGCTAACAAAGGGACATCAGCAACGGCAGAGCCCGTCCTGCCTGGCTTGAAATTAAACCCTGCGGGTGGCAAAGGTGCTCCCGGCCGTGTCCTGCCCTCCCGAGGACAGCAAGCTAACGCCGTTCCTCTCTCCTTTCCAGCCTTCAAGCAGAGTCCCCAGGGCATCCCAGCACTGGGGGCCAGCATCAAGAAACGGAGGCACGGGGAGGAGGAGATGTATTACGTGCCTGTAAGTGTTGGTGAGCTGCACCGCTGGAGAGCTCGGCTCGGGATGGGACGGAGGTGGCATTGTCCTCTCTGTGAGAAACACCTTGGGGATGCATTGTCAGGCAGGAGGGGGTTGCATGGTCCCTGCGGGGCGGCAGGCACGGGGGCTGAGCAGAGACCTAGAGAACAGGAGCAAAAGCACCTGTGAATGCAACGTGTCCAAGGGGGTCCCGGCCCCCCACATAGTCCCCGGCCACAGCGATGCTGCACCTTGTGTGGCTGGGTGGAAAGGCGGCGGCCAGGGGGGACGGGAACAAAGGGGAGCCCTGGGCTTGTTCCCTCCTCCAGGTGCGAGGCCGGGAGAACTTCGAGATCCTGATGAAGATAAAGGAGAGCCTGGAGCTGGTGGAGCTGGTCCCGCAGCAGCTGGTTGACTCCTACCGGCAGCAGCAGCAGCAGTTCCTGCAGAGGCAGTAAGTACCACCGCAGCCCCCCGAGAGCCCGCAGCAGGGAGCAGCCCTGTGGTGGGGGAGCCCTCAAGCAGCCCCAGGCCGGGGGGTCGAGGGCTGACAACCGCTCTAGAGACATCGCTGGTGCAA